ACTATCTCTGAAACAATTTTAACCCCACTGCGAAGCCTCTTCTAAGGATGCCTACCCTGAAGAAGTTACCCTCCTCCCTCCGGAAAAACCTCAGTGGATCTCTCTCCCACTGCAACTCTCTCGTAATCTCTTCGGCCTTTCTGAAGAAGGGTCTAGGCCTGAAACGTCAGCCTTCCTGCTCCTATGATGCTGCTTGGCCTGCTGTGTCCAGCTCCACATCTTGTTATCTCAGATTCTCCAGCATCTGCAGTTCCTACTATCTCTATATACAATACTGGTTGGGCTACAGTTGGTGTTTTGCACACAATTCTGATCATCACATTGCAGAAAAGACATAATTACTCTTGTGAGAGTACAGAGGATATCTACAAGAATTTTGCCAGGACTCTAAAATTTCAGCTAAGGGGAATGATTGGTTAAGCTAGTGTGTTTTCCTTAGAACAGAGAACGCTGAGGGATGACTTAAGCAAGATGTACAAAATAAAGAAGGGCTTGGGTAGAGCAGATATGAAAGACATGTTTCCCCTAACACAGAGGTCAATTATCAGGGGCACAGATTTAAGGTGAATGGTGGAAGGATAAAGAAGTCATGAGGGTGGTGAATGTCTGGAATTCACTGGCCAGTTTGGTGGTTGAGGCAGACGTGTTCATCTCATTTAAAAGAACCTGAATCTGTACCTGAATTTTAGTAACCTTCAAGGCTACAGGCTAGGTTGCGGCAAATGGAATTATAATGGGCAGCTGGTTTATTTATCTAGTATTGACACAATGGGCTGAATGGCCTCTTTATATGCTGTAACGTCTCAACAGTTCCATCGTTAGCTCAGAAGAGCTGAGTGGATGAACCATCTTGGCCTCCTCCTGAGGTCCACAGCATTGCAGATGCATCTTCAGCTAATTCAATTCACTCCACGTGATATCAAGAACTGACTGAGGGCACTGGATACTGCAAAGGGTATGGTGCCTGACAATATTCCGACAATTGTACCAAAGACTTATGCTCCAGAGTTAGCAGGCCCATAGCTAAGCTGTTCCAATACAGCTACACGCTGACTTCTACCTGACAATATGGAAAATAGCCCAGCTACATCCTGTGCACAAAATGTAGGATGAATCCAACCTAGCCAAATTCTACCCTATAAATTTACTCTCAGTCAACTGCAAAATGATGGAAGGGATCATCAAATGTATTATGAAGCAGCATTTGCAAAAGAATAAACTGCTCACTGATACTCAGTTTGGGGTCCTCCAGAACCACTCAATGGGAACTGGGGAAAACTCGGCTGGTCGGAATCATACCTGGCACAAAGAAAGATGGTTGTAGTTGTTGGAGTTTGATCATCTCAATCCCAGGATACACATGCAGGCATTTCTCAATGTAGTGTCCTAGGCCCAATTTTACGTCATCTGCTTCATCAATGACCCTCCCTCCATCATAAGTTCAGAAGTGGGGACATTTGCTGACGATTTTATGATTTTCAGCACCATTCACAACTTCTCAGTTACTGAGCAATCCATGTTCCATATGCAGCAAGACATGGATAACATCTAGGCTTGGGTTATAAATGGCAAGGCCTATTCACACCACACAAGTGCCAGGCAATGATCATTTCCAACAAGAGAGAATCTAGCAGTTGCACCTAGCTATTAAATGGAATTACCATTATTGAATTCCCCACTATCAACATCCTGAGGGCTACCATTGACCCAAAACTGAACTGAACAAGCTATACCAATACTGTGATTATAAGACTAGATCAGAGGTTAATAATTCTGTGACAAGTAATTTACTTGTGTCCCCAATGCCTGTCCACTATCTATAAGACATAAGGAATGTGATGGAATACTCTCCGCTTGCCTGGATGGGTGACAACACTCAACAAGCTTGATACCATCCAAGACGAAACAGCCTTTCCAGAACCACCTTCAACATTCACACCCTTCAACACCAGTGACAATGGCAGCAGTGTGTACCATCTACAAGGTGTATTTCAGTAAATACAATCCAGGACCAAATCAAAACAACATTAGACACCTCAGAATGTTTCATGGCACATTATAGCCAAACATTCACTTCAGAAATGTAGCCACTGTTGCAATGTAGTTATTGCCAATCCTTAATTATTTTGGAATTTTTTGAAGGACCAGTAAGAAATCATAAGGATTAATTTCCTTGAGGTTTCTCGTGCTCTGCTGCCATAGTTTGAAGGTAATTTGGCAGAAACCCCTTTCATACAACACATGTAATTCGGTTTCCACCGACATTACAGTGCCAGTACGGAAAAGGTTCAGAGGAAATTTAATTCCCAAGTATTCTATTACTACACTCACTCTGCTAATGATTTAATTTTGTTTTAAATCTCTCTCAATAAATCTTAACTGGTTGTTTCAAGCCTGAACCATAAGATTTCTCAGTATGTGAATTTACACTAGTTTCAAAGGTCAACTATATGTAGTTAGTTACATTGAGTATTAGAATATACCATCATCAATCTGACAAGGATTTATTATTTGCCCCAAGCATCTTAATATCTGCATACAATGTTGATTTTCACTTCATAGGCAGCAGGCACAAATTTTCCTAAAGTGCACTGAAGGAACGTAAAAGACTTTGTTATGAGAGAAAAATAAAGTTTCAAATTTTTACAAATGTATTTTCAGAGGTTTGTTGTTGAAAAAGGCTACAAGTGTTTTCAGAGAATGGGACTAAATTATAATTTTAAGTCTCTAATTCTTTAAATGTAAAAATGTGCTTGTGAGTGATGAATCGGCATAATCTGCTACTAATAATTTCTTCTTCCTGACTTGCTAGATTTTGATATAAAGAATGCAATGTTGAATAGGTTTTTTTGGATGAAAAACCCATTCAGCAATCTGTGAAGGTTTTATTTTTGCTTGCTATTGTCTTTTATGACTGCTGTTTACAATTCTTCTTGTTAATGTGTTCTAGTCATTTTTATACATTTTGTCTTCTAAGCATTTATCATAGAATCCCTACAGTGTGGAAACAGGCCCTTTGGCCCAACAAGTCCACACCACACCTTGGAGCATCCCACCCAGACCCATTGCCCTATAACCCACCCCTGAACACAATGGGCAATTTAACATGGCCAATCCACCTAGCCTGCACATCTTTGGGCTGTGGGAGGAAACCAGAGCACCCAGAGGAAACCCAAGCAGACACAGGAAGAATGTGCAAACTCCACATAGACAGTTGGCCAAGAGTGGAATTGAACCTAGGTCCCTGGTGCTGTGAGGTAGCAGTGCTAACCACTGAGCCACCATGGCACCCTATGGTATTTGCATGACAAAAGGGATATCATGGATAGCAGGAACATGTGCCAGCAGGCAGCATTTCAGGAAAATGTCTTTGTTTGAAGCAGTCAGCAGATTCAGAAGATCAGTAAATCAAAAAACAGCTTCATCAACAATAGTCTTTTGAATGCTATTGCAACACTTTAAATATCTTAATCATATATATTTATTCTACATACCAGAGAAGCTACCCAGTCACAAAATTCCTTTGTTATTTGTTTTATTTCTTCATCTTGTCCTGTTTTTTTATCCCATTTTCGGCTGGTTTTCTGGTCTTCCTTCTTCTGTTTCCCTCTGGATAGGATCCACTTATAGGGGTTTCTCTGCTTTGGTTCTTCACTGCTGTACAATCCAAGTACCAATGCTTATTGAAACTATATGTATCAATAGAAGTAGCATGTGATTTTTAAGGCTGAATTACTTGATACCTACAATAAGAATATTTTAAACACATGATTTATGCTGAATTTAGTTTTGCAAGAATGACTGTTCTGTCATTTTTTAGGCAAAAATGCATTGTTTTGGAATACTTTACAAACTGAATTTGATGACTGAATGGGCATGTGAGTTTATGATGTCAATTTTTATACAACTACCAACAGGGATGAAAAGGTCAATTTCTGTTCTGATCCCTTCCATCTTCCTCGTATACCATTAAATCTGCTTCACTAATGGTTCCTCATGCACAGAGATCCACTACAGGAATTGAGTTAAAAAAGCAGGTTCTAAAAATTAAATCAGAGATAGTAGGAACTGCAGATGCTGGAGAATCCAGGGCAACAAGGTGCAGGGCTGGATGAACACAGCAGGCCAAGCAGCATCATAGGAGCAGAAAGGCTGACATTTCGGGCCTAGACCCTTCATCAGAAAAGGGCTAAAAATTAAGTAAGTTCATTATGTGAGCATGTGCACTATCTCTATCATGACTGGAGTGTCTGCATTGCCAGTGGCCATGAATTTCACATTGTTAAGTTACAGGGTTTCAGCTATTCTAGCTGAGGATTCCTACAATATTGAGAAAATGACTTAGTGAAACATTCTCAAGAGCAGTCGATCACTTTCCAATTTAGTAAGCCAGTAATATAATGAGATTATAGCCCTCTTTCATCTGCCTGCATCTTGCAATTTGGGGTAGAACTGGTAGGATGTTATTGCCAGATCCTCCTCCTCTGGTAAAGCCCACAGAGAAGATGTTGGGTCAGATACTGAAAACTGCACATACAGAAGAATGGACAGACAGGTGACAGAGATGGAGTCCATCCCACATTTTGGCTCACCCATTCAAACTGCTCCTGCTCTGCCCCAAACACAGGAATTTCAGTACTGTGTGTTTTCAAACCTCTGATTTCTTTAAGCAGTATTGTGCAGAATTACATATAAGAATTTCAGTGAAAGATCTATACTGCATTTTCTGGATTTCCCAGAAATCTTTCACTGAAGCTGTGACAAATGATTGAGAAAATCCCAAATTCCCAAATATCAGTCATGTTGCTCGAGAAGAAGAAAGTGATTTCTGCAGCCCTTCTTTGTAACCAACTTACAGTGCTATCAGGGGCCCAGAAAAAGGCTTAAACAGAAGGAGACACATGATAATAGAACAGAATATCAAATAGAGGGTGACATTTTAGCAGGCAGATGCTCCATTAAGACTTTCAAAAAAGGTTTGAATTGCAAGTTGGATCAGTTAGCATCTGTAGAGAGTACAGGCCTTTTTGGCATGTACTGAATAAGCTGAACGTTTAGTTTTAATTCAGAGTCTTATCATCTGCTGATTGAAAATTTATACTTCAATTAAGGACTCTTAAGTACAGAACAGTACTACTTACTTTTCTAAACATTTTCTGTCTTGTGTCTTCTCTTTTGGTTTTATAACTGTCTGCTTCTTTTCATCAGGTACTTCTACATAAACATCATGAGACAATAGCATCTCAGGGTCCAGTAGACCTACAATTACCTCAAAGAGCTGGATTGAAAATATGTTTGTTATTCTTTTGCAGACAAGTACACAACTATAAATTTCTTGTGGCTATTCATAGATAATCAATGGACAGAAGATTGGCTCAGGTGGTAGTGCTGTCTTGGATCAAGAAGCTGTAGGTTCAAACCTCACATCAGCATTTGTGTTTAGTCTAGGCTGAGATTCCACAGCAGTACCAAGCAAGTACTCTATTGGCATTGATGCCACCTTTTTGAGTGAAGCACTTAGACTGAAGCCCTCACTACCTGTTTTCGTAGTTTGAGGGTGAGTCACTCAATAATGATGGCTCTCCCCTACACATGTAGAATTTACCTGCAGAAGCCATAGCGTCCATTAACATGTCTAAATGTGGGGTTATATTAGCGAGCCAGCGAGAGGGCAGACTCTCAGTGAGAGGGGAAACTCCTTAAATGTCTTAACATTATAAAAAATGGTGAAAGCAGAGTGATGCGGATATTGCAGCTGCTTCTGAGTTGGAGATTTTTCTTGTGATTTTCATCTGGATTTTCTAGCACAGAAGCAGAAAATTTTTAATTTAAAATTATGACTAGAACTTGTATAGTTTAAAAAAAGAAAACAAAAGTGAGGAAGGAGAGATTGGATCAGATGAAGTTTGTGCGAAAGGCCTATCCACATGTTTGTCAAGGTGTTGACGGCTCCAGAGAGAGATTTTGTTTTTGTTTGCATGAAACTCATAAGAACTCAGGGTGTGTATGGGAACAAGGAGCTGGGACACCACAGCTATTACAGAAACATGGCTCAGGGAGGGACAGGACTGGCAGCTCAATGTTCCAGGGTAGAGATGCTAAAGGAAGGATAGAAAGGGAGGCAAGAGAGGAGGGGAAGTGGCATTTTTGATTAAGGTAAACATTACTGCTGTACTTATGGAAGATATTTCTGAAGGATTCCAATGAAGCTATATGGGTGAAACTCAGAAATGAGAAGGGGTTGATTACCTTGATGGGATTATGAGGCCTGTAGTCCAATAATCAGTGGGAAATTAAGGAGCATAAACATACAGAGATTTCAGATATATGTAAAAACAATAGGAATGTAATAGTAGGGGATTTTAACTTTCCAGATATAGGCTGGGACTGTCATAGTGTTAAGGGCTTGGATGGTGAGGAATTTGTTAAAAGTGTTGAAGAAAATTTTCTCTATAAATCTGTACATGTACCTACCAGAGAAGGAGCTAAACTTGACCTCTTGAGACATAAGGTGGGGCAAGTGACTGAGTGTTAACGGGAGTGCAGATTTGGACCAGTGATCATAATTCGACTAGTATTGAATAGTTATGGAAAAGGATAGGCCTTTGTATAAAAGTTAAAGTTCTTATTTGGAGTAAGACAAATTTTGACAGTATGGGACAGGAACTTTCAGGAGTTGATTGGAATAGACTTCTCGCAGGTAAATGGATGACTGGAAAGTGGGAGGCTTTCAAAATTGAGATAACGAGAGTTCAAAGGCATTATGTTCCTGTTAGAGTGAAGGGTAAGGCTGGTAAAAGTAGGGAACAATGGCTGAATAAAGATATTGAGGCTCTAGTCAAGAATAAGAAGGAGTCATACATTAAGTATAGACAACTGAAATCAAGTGAACCTCTTGAAGAGTATAAAGGATGTAGAGCCATTCTTAAGAGATAAATCAGGAAGGCACAAAGTGGATATGAAATAGCCTTGGCAGTTAGGGATAAAGATAATTCAAAGACACTCTACAAGTACTTTAAGAGGAAAAGAGCAACTAGGGAGAGAAATAGGGCCCCTTAAAGTTCAATGAGGACATCTATGTGTGGAACCACACGAGACGGAAGAAATAATAAATGAATATTTCACATCAGTTTTTACTGTGGAGAAAGGAATGGAGGCTAGGAAACTCGGGAAAATAAGTATTGTCGTCTTGACAACAGTCCACATTACAGAGGAGGTGGTGGAGGTCTTAAAAAAAACACATAAAGGTGGACAAATCTCCGTGACCTGATAAAGTGTATCCCAGATGTTGTGGCATACTGGGGAAGAAATTGTGGGGCCACTAGCAGAGATGTTTGTATCATCTACAGCCACAACTGAGGTGCCAGAGGACTGGAGGGTGGCTAATGTTCTGCCTTTATTTAAGAAAGGCTGTAAGGAGAAGCCTGGGGACTACAGACTGGTGAGTCTGACATCAGTGGTGTGTAAGTTGTTGGAAGGGATTCTGAGAAATAGGATTTATATGCATTTGGAGAGGCAAGGATTGATTAAGGGTAGTCAGCATGGTTTTTATCCGTGGGAAATTGTGTCTCTCACAAAATTGATTGAGTTTTTTGAGGACGTAACTAAAAAATCTGATGAGGGCAGAATAGTAGACGTTGTCTACATGGCCCTTAGTAAAGCCTTTGGCAAGGTTCCGCAAGCTAAACTAATTAGTAAAGTCAGATCACATGGGATTCAGAGTGAGCTTGCCAATTGGATACAAAATTGGCTTAACGGTAGGAAACAGAGAGTGGCTTTTGGGTGGAGGGTTTTTTTGGCCTGTGGCCAGCGGTTTTCCACAGGGATCAGTGCTGGGTCCACACTTGTTTGTCATTTATGTAAATAATGTGGATGCGAATTTAGAAGAATGATTAGTAAGTTTGCAGATGACACCAAAAGTGGTGGTACAGTGGGCTGTGAAGACAGTTAGCTAAGATTACAAAGCGGTCTTGATCAATTTGATCGATGGGCTGAATGGCAAACGGAGTTTAATTTGGATAAAGGTGAGGTAATGCATTTTGATAAAACAAACAAGGGCAAGACTTTTGCAATTAATGGTGGGGCACTGGGTGGTATTGTTGAACATAGACATCAAGGGGTTCAGGTACATGGTTCTTTGAAAGTTGCATCACAGGCAGACAGGATGGTTATGAAGGTGTTTAGCACGCTTGCCTTCACTGCTCAGACCTTTTTAGAATGGCAGTTAAGATAGCATGTTGGTGATAGCAGTTAAGATAGCATATACAGGATGTTGGTGAGGCTACTTTTAGAGTACTGTGTACATTTCTGGTCATCCTGCTATAGAAAGGGTATTTTTAAATTGGAGAGGGTTCAGAAAAAATTTACCAGGATGTTGTTGGGACTGGAGAGTTTGAGTTATAAGGAGAGATTGTACAGGCTGGGACTTTTTTTAATAGAGTGTAGGAAGTTGAGGGGTGACCTTATAGAGGTTTATAAAATCATGAGTGTCATAAATAAGGCCAATAGCAAGGGTTTCTTTCCCTCGGGTGGGGCATAAAACTAGAGGGCATTCAAAACTAGAGGGCTAATTTTTAGGGTGAGAGGAAAAAGATTTAGAAGAGACCTGAGGAGCAATTATTTCACACAGAGGGTAGTTTGTAAGTGGAATGAACTGCCAGAAGAGGTGGTAGATGCAGGTACAGTTGCAATAGTTAAAAGACATTTGGACAGGTACATGAACAGGAAAAGTTTAGAGGGATTTGGGCCAAATGCCAGCAAGTGGGACTAGATTAATTTGGGAAACTTGGTTGGCATGGACAAGTTGGAAGGAAAGGTCTTTTTCTGTGCTGTATGACTCTATTAAAATAATCTTACGGGTAGGTTTAGCCATCTCATCACAAATGATCTAAACATTATGCAATTATGGTGCAAATGTTAACTACTAAGGAAGGTCAGAAACCTAAGATTATAGCTGGAACCATTAAAAAAATAAACAATATGATTGGCTGCTTTACTTTTACCTAAATTACAGACTAAGTAGATAAATCCATGAATTGATCCAAGCAGAAAAAAGCAATTTTTGTCTGCATCAGGCAAATCTGTGATATGCTGTGCACAATTTTTTAATAATTTTATGGGGTGATCTTAATTCTGCCCTTCCAGCCAAAAATAGCCTGATAGACATTAAAAAAAACACATGGAAATTCCACCACCGCCCCCCCACCCCAAGATACTGCTCCACTCATACCAGGGTCAAATTTTAAACTAGTCAAAATAGACAGAATCTTACTTTTTAAATGCGCAAATTGAACCTTGATGAATCATGAACACTCTTTGAATCAGAAGTCAAAAGGGGAAGACATTAAGCCTTTTCCCACTTGACTAAAACAGGAGAATGAGGAGATGAGACCATCAGAGGCCCAAAAAGCAAGCCAAAATTAGACAATGCCAGCTTTTTGTCTAAGTTATTTCCTACCTCTGGAGGTATTCCTTCTTCCAGATGTGGATAAAGAGCTAATGGATGCTGACTCAAGCCATATTCAATCTCTTCCAGCTGCTCCCTCCTCGTCTGTTGTAATGGTAGAGACTTGGAAAAACATATCTGTGATTTAGTAAGCCTTTTTGACACACTCTGAGCAGGTCTGAAAGTTTCTGTGACCTTCAAGAGAAAGGGACTAAGACCAGCACCCTTCACACTGCGTATCATGGCTAAGTCTTCTTGTGTCTGAGGGGGATAGCCATCACGGAAATCATCCAGTCCACTTTTCAAGAAACGCCATCGATGTCCATTCAAAGCATCAGATGACAAGGTTTGATTCTTTTTGAGGTACTTCGTCTTTAACCTCTCCTTGTACCTACAATTTGAAGTAAGTTTTCAGTTTTATTCACTACCTGGAGCTGTGCCTCACTATATTGTGTCTGTTCCTCAAAACCACAGACTTGAATTTACAGGATACATTATGTTTAGAGTCTTAACTTCACAATCAATACTATTTCCCCTCCAGTATCAGCTACATTCTGTGGCACATAGTCTTTTTCAACAATAGAAGTGGAAGGATAATCATGGACCTGGGCTTTGCCTTTTCTACTGGATGTGGGTGCACTCAGTGGAGATAATTAGAACAACATAGTGACGATGGAATTAATTGTATACTGTTTTTGGATCCTTGTGCATACAGAAGTGTGCTTAGTGAAGGAAGATGGCACGTTATTAGCAGAGGTGGAAATGTAGAGTGAGTCGTAGAATAGGAATAAGAGGCAAAACGTACCGATGCTCCAGTGATCTTCATGTGTTTTAATAGTAAAGTCACGAAGTTCTTTCAGAACTGCAGCCATATATATCCTTTACATTAAACTGGGAGCATTCGTGCTGTATAAAGTCTCCTTGTTCAAAATAAATATCTGGCATCTAACATTCGAGACTTGGGAAAAAAATCCCCTCCCTTCTGCAAAATCATTTTCCCCAATCCTATCTAACAGCCCTTTTCAGAGAATAAAGTTGCTTCTTTCCAAGTAATCGCGAGGAAGTGCACCAAAAAGGTGCTCTTAGATTGTAATTGGTACAGCACCACTTCAACTTCTTCCTTCACGTAAGCAGGAACCTTATCCCTGTTGGCTAAGTTCGCACTATGTTTGTCATCTCAATAAACAAATTGATCACTGCTGCAATAAATTGCCTCGGCATACCCCCGTACGGAACACAGTTGGAAGGAAACCACTTACCAGGGTTGGGGAAGTGGCTGCTTGTCTGAGCGTGTTTTGCTTAACTCAGATTTTCTAGCAAGAAGCGTGTCGTACTTGTGGGCCATAGCTGGGGGTAGGGGGGCTGTGCTGCTTTCCCAAATGGCACTGTTCACTGC